CCCCAAGGCCAGGTTCCACAATATGCGCGCACCCCCCCCCCCCCCCCCCCCGTGAATGAGTAAGGAGTACCCCTACCCATTCACTAAAGGGATAAAATTCAAAGTAAATAAACAAACCACACTTTTAGAGAAAATCCTTTAATTGACTACTTCTTTAATTAAAAAAAAGTTAAAAATGGCTTCATCGATGTAATCCAGCATCAAGCATGAATAAAAAAAAGTCCCGCCGCACGACGACCATCCGAACCCAACGAAAATTCGCCACAAAATAACATCTCCTGTCCGAAAGTAAACAGATGGGCAGAGCGTGCCGTGCTCCACCCATTTGACATGCTCGATCGCTCACCCCTTTCCTGCCCTGCTGGGCCTGTGCTCGAATCAAGGGTCTGGTAGGAATGTTAGGGGGGACCCCAGTTTATTTTCCCATTTTGTGTGGCTGGGGTTCCCCCTTAAAATTCCTACCAGACCTAAAGGGCATGGTAGGATTTTGGGGGGAACCCCAAGCACTTTTTTTTAACTTGGGGGAGTCCCTCCTAACATTCCTACCAGACCTAAAGGGTGTTTATTTCCTCTTCTGCAGACTGTAAAAAAAAAAAAAAAATGTTTTCCCTAATGTCACTTTGCTGCAACAAAATTTCGTCCAACAAACAAAATTTTGTAAAGACTACCGCTAATGAATTTCGGAATCGTAAATTCGGACTCATTTGCATTCGTTATTTCGGAAATTCGGATACATCCAAATCTCAGAATTTCCAAAATTTCGTCCAAATTTCGATTCGGAACTAAACAAATCGCACATGTCTATGGTTCCCCAAAGACTTTGCTCTTTGGCTCTTCATCCGGCAGCTCTGATATCATCATGAACAATGCAGGACAGTTCTGGATTGTAAGGGAGAATGCTGAAAACCTGCCTACATCCCGGAGCGTCAGAGGAAAGAGGTGAGCACCAAGGGTTTATATGATATGCCTTTAAATATTATTTGCTTTATCTGTCTCTGGTATTTATCTCCACCTCTCCCCATAGTTCAGTTTTTCCTCTGTGTAGATAACTCCACCTTTCTTCATTATGTTCCAGTCTGCATCTTTTTCTTATTTCGTGAAGTGGATCACATTATGATCTTTTGACCCATCCTATGTTCGCTGTTGTAAAGATCTGCACAGTTTGAATTAAACTTCTTAACAATCTTCAAGGTGTCATATGGATTGAGTCAACTGTCTGCCAACTCACTGAGATTGGAATTACTGCCATCTCGCCACAACTGTAAGTTACAGAGATCACACTTTCAAAGCTTAGACTGGGGAGGCAGAACAGATATGCTTTAACTCAGAGCTAGGCACTCGGCACTCCAGCTGTGGTGAAACTACGAATCCCGTTGTGCCTCTCCTTGTAGTTCCACAACAGCTGGAATGCCAAGGTAGCCTACCCCCGGTTTAACTAAATATGTGTGTTTGATAAAATAAAACATTGACTGCACCATTGGTGTGTCATAATAATGGGGTGTATTCTTTTGCATTAATTTATTTTGTGGGGTTTCATTATTGTAATTAAAGTACAGGTGTACCTTTGTACAAAAAAAAACTCTGTTAGAATGCAAACAAATCCAAGTTAAATATAAAAAGTGGAGTTTGGCTTATCCTTTTATCTTTGTGGAATGCGCTGGCATGCTTGCACACTGGAGCACAGGCTCCAGGAAAAAAAAAGTAAAAATGGATAGAGCAGCCGAAAGCCAGGCAGTGTAAGGCCGATGTCACATTAGCGATCCTGTTGCTGGCGAGATCGCACTAGCGCAGGATTGCTATGCAGAACACAGCAGGAAATGTAAATACTCACCTGTTTGTATATGTTGCTCCCTCGCTAGTTGGATGACCGAGGTGTCATTCCTTTGCCGGCTATGTATATTCTGAAGGGTTTTCACCAGTGAGGGAGCAATGCCTCGCTCTTCTACCTGGGAAGGTCGCAACAAATACATGCGAGTGTTTTCTTTGCACATTTGACACATACAGAGGTTTTTATGTAAAGATACACCTGTACTTTCAATCACTTTGCAGAGATCTGTTTTTCTTTTTAATATAAAAGAGTTTATTTCTCTTGAAGAGTGTAAAAATTATCCTAAGGGGGTGAATAATTTTTATTTGAGTTATATGCATGCAAGCTCTACTACTCCTTAAATTGTGCCTTACGGTCCTTCTTCCTTTCCATGCAAGTCTACCAGTCATCTATGACTGGTTTGCAACAAAGTCCTCTCTATAGTTGGTTATAGACATAAGAGAATGGTCAGGATTGTAAGACTGATGTCAGATGGGCGACTCTGCTGCTATCAATCTTTCCGCTGGTGATTTGTTGAAACAGATTACTAAGGCTCCATTTACACTTAGGCATATTGTCGCAGCTGATTCAGCACAACAAAACGCTCCACCCAAGCAATCCTATTCATTTCTATGGCCCGCGTTCACACCTGTGAGTTTTGTCGCAAGCAGAAATACGCCTGTCGCTCAAAAGAGTAAATGAGCTACTTAGGGGCAGATTTCAGCGTATTTTGTCCCATAGACTCAATAGAAAATGCTTGAAAAGGAGTATTGTTATTTTATTGCTCGTTTTTGTGTACATTTTGCCCATTCACATGAATGTGGCAAAATCTGCTTACAAAAACGTGCAAACTAATATACACATCTAAAATGCGCAAAAATGCTCAAAAAAGTGTCGAGCAAAACACGCGTAATAGGTGGTACCTATGTGTGAATAAAGCCTAAGACGCTGCCTGTATCTCCCTGTGGAATTGTTCCCTCTGTAGCTAAGGCAGTCAAATTTGCTGCCATTGCTAGTGATCGAGATTCAACAGCATTCAGGCCAGTGACAGATCAACATCTGGCTGCATTTGGCTATAGAGGAAGAGATTCCATAGGTACAGACTGACAGCCTCTTTGAGGATCCCACCACTGGCAATTTATTTCTAGCTGGCAGAATCACCCATCTGACATCAGCCTAAACACGACTTATTTATTTATTTATTACAAGTAACTACCGTGTTTCCCCGCAAATAAGACAGTCTTATTTTTTTTTTTGGCTCATAAAAACACACTAGGTCTTATTTTCGGGGTAGGTCTTATTTTTTTTTTTAATGTACAACAATCCACACTTATTCATGTACAAAAGTCTATATGTATTCATGTACAAAAATATGGTGATCAGGGCAATCGGGGTGCCGTACCTTTCCAAGAGCAATTTGCTAACCAATAGCTGGCCAGAATGAGTGAAGCGCACTTTCACTATCAATTCCTCACAGGCGGAGTGCATTTGGTATCACTCGGCATGTGACAGGAGCCGGCGCTCTAGAGGAGGCATCGGCTTATGCGGCTCTGCTCCCTCCGGTGCCGCCTCCATCCTCTAGTGCTGGCTTCGTTGGCACCGCTAATTCTCTCCTGCCTCTCCCGCGGCTCTTCAAGTTCCCCCTTATGCCACCACCGGCCCTGTGAATGGTCATAACTAGGTCTTATATTCGGCGTAGGTCTTATATTTTAGCAATTCCCCAAAATAGTACTAGGTCTTATTTTCGGGGTAGGTCTTATTTTCGGGGAAACAGGGTATATAGTGCCGACAATTTACGCAGCTCTTTACATACAGAACATTTACATCATTCCCTGCCCTCGAGGAGCTTACAATCTAAGGTTCCTATTGCAAACCCATACAGGGCCAATTTAGACAGGAGCCAATTAACCTTCCAGCAAGTCTTTTGGAGTGTGGGAAGAAACCGGAGTTCCCAGAGCAAACCCAAGATAGCAGAGGGAGAACATGCAAACTCATTGTAGATTGTGACTTGATCATCACATGGTGTCATTTGGCACAGCTTAACCCATAAATAGGAATGCTTGGGTCAAAGTAACAATAAAAAAACTATATTAGGTTAAACATTACAATAATGATACAAAATATGTGTTTACTGCAGTCCATTAACATTTGCCTTTAAAACCACTAAAAGAGGAACCAGGACGGGAATATAGGAACAGATGGTTCTTACCGTTTTTTTATCAATCTCTTATACAGAAACCTGGCTGTTATAAAACATCCAATAAAACAGCAATCTTTTCAAAAGAAAATAAGATACATAATGCTATTGCAACTATAGAAACCTGGATAGGTTTCCTAGTAATAAAGGCTCTATTTGCATTTTAGGTGCAGTTAAATGCATGTAAAACTGTACACAAAATGCATGGTAAGGTTTGTAACATTGTAGTCAATGCAACTGTGTTGGAAACACAGAAATGAGAACTCAAGTTCTCAAGTTGAGTCACAGGGGGTGATTTACTAACCTAAACACACGCACGCACCAGGTGCGTGTGATTTTCACACAGCAAAACTTATTTATCAACCATCATTCACCATGCATTCATCAACGCAAGCAACACGACATAGAGCTAATTTACACAACATCACCTTGCAATTCATGCTTGGCTTTGCACAACACACCTGCTGGGTGTGTACACACTACAAAGGTGTTTAGATTCCACCCATAGATCATGCTGGGAGGGAACACACTACAGAGGTGTATACATGTTTGTGGTGTGTTTATAAGGTTAGTAAATCAACCCCACAGACTCAAGTGTGACTAAAGCATAACACAGTGTTTCCTATCACATAACATTTACGGTGCCCAAAAACAGGGCATTTTCTACTTTAAAGGAGAACTATGAGGTGAGTGCTTTTCACTCACCTCATAGTTCTAGCCGACCTGTGACAATGAGACTGTCACAGGTCGGCTCAGTAGATTGGGAGGTGAGCGAACATATACCAGCGTTCGCTCACCTCTCGATCCTGTCATGGCTCTCTGCTGTGACAGGGGAGGGGCTGAATTCCCCCCTCCCCGCTCCGATCCGCCAGCGCTGACTGGGAGGGGGCGGGTACAGCTGGCTCTGCCTTTAGATAGGCAGAGCCAGCTGTCACTCACGCAGCTGGGCGGATCTCGACATCGATGTCGGGATCCGCTCCGACGTCTCAGTATACCGCGAGCTGCAGCTCGCGGTATACTGATCTTAGGGTAACGGGAGGACGCTAGTTTGTGTCTTCCCGTTACCCTAAGGAGAACTATGGGGAACAGCCTTAACCCCATAGTTCTTCTTTAAGGACTCGTTCACGCTTATGCTGTGCACCCAAAGCAGATTGTATATTATTGTGCAACAACCCCTAAACTATTACTGTTTGCTGCAGTAACTATAGGTCAGAAGGAGGAATCCCAGTAGTCAGTGGGGTGACCCACTATCCGGGCCAGCCTACAGAGTGAAAAAGGATTAGTGCCAGGAGCCCCCAGACAGGTAAGTAAAATTTTCTACACAGGATACTGCCAATTACATTCTTTTAACCCCCTGACAGAGCCACTTTAATCATCTCTTCCTGACGTGGACCAGAACTCAAAAAGTGATCTGCATGTTGCAATATGTTAATTGTGCCTAAGCAGTACCCTGGAAAATGTACAAATGTTACATAGTATTTGAGGTTGAAAAAAAGTCAGAGGTCCATCAAGTTCAAACTTTGTGTGTCTGTGTGTGAGTTGTGCGTGTGTATGAGTCCCTGTGTGGTCTAGTATTTAAGAGTACCTGTCCCCCTGTATATTACGGTCTTTTAGGATGGTATCTAATTGATTTTTTAACAAATCAATATTCTGTGCAGATACCACTGCTTGTGGCAAAGAGTTGCAACATGATGGTCTAACTGAAAAGAAGCCCCTGTGCCCTTTGTGGTTAAATTTTTTCTCCGCCGATTTTAGGTGGTGACCTCTAGCCCTTGTTAGGGAGTTTACAATAAAAAGTTTAGTGCTGATGTTAGCATCACCACTGAACATTTTTACATCATCTTTTTTACAATCATGTCCCCTCTTACTCTCCTCACTTCCCGCAAGTTTAAATTTTGCAATTTAGTACCCTTCGACTTGAATTTCTACTGACAAATAGCAGTGCGCTTCCTAGTATGTGAGAATGCCTAGGCCCTCCTGTGCAGTATGTTTGGAATGTAATATCAAAACTACACCTACCCTTTATAGAAAAAAACAACCCTAACAGTGATGCCACCGGGCATTAGGCCTGCAAGACACTGAGAGCCACATGTGAAATAGATAATCTGCGCTTCTGGAGAAGAGACTAAAGTAAAAATATGTATTATTAATTAAGACCTAAAGCAGCTCTAAAAGAGGATGGGAGAATCCTTTCAGCGGTAAAGAAATATATATCAAAGCGCTAAAGGTATAAGTGGTATGAAACTTAGAGCAACCAGGTAATGAAGTGAAATTAGGGTTTAAGCGATCTGGCCTAAAACCATATGTTGAACAATTCGAAAGAAATCTTACATGGGATCATAAAACAAAGGAAAAAAATATATATTAATAATTCAATTATAACAGTGAAGGAACATCCAATATATAACGATATATGAACGATCCACACAAAAAAATATATCTCTCCTCCTAGGCTGCTTCAAGGCTAAATAGAAATTAATGAGGTTCATTCTCACCTTGTCGCACGGGCATGGAGGACAGCAATTCCTCTTCCAAAAAGTTGTCTGTTCTCTGCCCTGTTTGTAACATGGAAAGATATCCACATTCTTTTCCAGGCTGGCTGATGCAGTAGCTCAGCAGGAGGTATGAGATACAAGGTATCAGATCTCTTGGCTGACCCTGGCCCTAGAGATTGATTTACATTATCTAAAACGTCTACTATTCCAACAGTATTTTTGTGTTAGTTTAAGTCGACATTGCAACATATGGCAACATTTTATTTTATATTATTATGGGCTTTTATATAGTGCCAACAATTTACACAGCACTTTATATATTGTACATTCATATCAGTCGCTGCCCTCAAGGAAATATTTACAACAACAATCCCTGCTGTTAAGTTTTGTAAGGCTGGTACTGGATAGAGATGAGCCTGGGCTTGATGGGAGTCCAGTTTTCCAAGCAGTTGTGGTGGAGGCATTTTGTGACTTATAGCTATGGAGAAGGGAATGCGCCTCTCCGCAAGCCATTGGGCTGGGGGGATGGGATGGCAGCCACTCTTTTGAGTGTACAAACTCAGGCGGATTGGGTTCACACCAAACCCAGTCTCATAACTAGTGCTGGAAGATATATGAAAAAGACTCTCCGGCTGTTCTGGGTCATTATTTCCTAATCCTGGTATTTGCTGCGTTAGGCCGCATTCAGACTGTTTTGATTAATTACCTTGCAGACAATGCGTGTTACTGTGCATTGCATTAAGGTATTACATTCATTTTGAATATATTGGAAATGTACTACAATGCAGGTTTGGACTGGCACCATTTTTTCAACCCAGTGCATGACAACACACAGAAGGTTCACATCTGTTAATTGTGGTGTGCTAAAAGACATGTGCCTTGTTGTGTGCTGGATAGGTACATCAGGGTGCCATTCAAGATGAATGACACCACAACACACTGCATCCTATCACACTTGGTTTAGTGTGCTGCTGTAATGTTTAGAAAACACAGATTTTACTTTCCATTACCAAAGTGCAGCAGTCCAATTGGGCCCTTATAGTTTTCTATTGCTAATTGGGATTGAGCTTGGAAGTTCAGCTGATACCCCCACCTCCATTCCCCAGCTTGTATGAGGTTCAGTGTATGTTGCACCTTCATTTGACATTGTCAGATCTGCCAATAGCTGCAGCAAGGTGGTCATAAAGTGTGAGCCTGTAATGTCCTTACCGACCGCGAGCCGTCTGCGTCCCAGCGTGGAACGCATCGGCCGCGTCACGTTGGGCGCTTCCCTCCCTGAAAGGGAGGTTCCATGCGCTCCACCGTGGAACGCGGAAGTGACAGCACGCTCCACGGCTCCACGTCCGCGGACTATATAAGGGTCACATGAACGCTGTGAGAGCGTTCAACTATTGGGTTTGATGCCCCACCGACGCCAGGAGCCTCAAAACCCCCTCTGCATTCCAGGACCTTAAGCTACATTGCTCCAGCCATCTCCACTTCATCCTCAGGAGACTAGGGGACCCAGCCCCAAAGTGCAAGTATTGTACCTGGTGGGGGACATTTAGACTGCTGGATTGACTGAGTATCATTCTCTATGGAACTGTGATTGATGTTATCTGCTTAAACCTGGCTAAATCCTGAACCTACTGCTATCTGACACTGTTCATACTACCATAACTCTGAACTGTTGCTATTATCCATTGCTGTATCTTTTGATGCATATAGACCCCACTGGGTTATGAATTGAATAACCAATAGTAGGTCACTCCTTATAGTTATCTTTTGTGGCAGAGAATGCATGAATCCCTCACTCTCCGTCAAGATTGAGAGAGACGCCTGGGGTTCTAGCCTGATTGCCATACCCAGCACTATTTTTGACTTGATCCGCAGCTGTGATCCACTCACCCCTCAGAACCCAAGGGCGCATTACAGAGCCCTGGCTGTATGGGCGTATGAGGTCTTCCAGTTTGTATTGTCTACTTTTTATTTTTATTTGGTTTTCTTATGTTGTGCAGTAATCTAAAACAGGCTATTCTGCTTCTTTCATCACTGAAACCGCCTGAGTAAGGCTGGATATACACAGTAAGAATTTCGGTCAAAATTCTGAAAAATCATTAGTCAGACATTCGATCTTGCCATCATTGAGTCAACTAATTTCATTAGAAAGCCCTTAAAACTTCGACCAGACCTGCTACTTGTATGGAATCCCAAACGTATTAAACAGGTTTAATTTGTGCCTAGCACATGTACAATGTGTACATTTTTTCCCCACCAGAAATCATATTTGCCATTAGAATTTCATTTGTTCAGATAAGGAATGAGAAAAATGTTCCAATCTGAGCCTTGAAATTTTCTCATCTATATGAAAACAAGCATCGTTTTGTACCCATCAACCATTAGAAAATTAAAAAAATTTCCAGTAACAAAATTCTACTGGTGTATGGCCAGCTTAAAAGCATACACTGACGCTTTTTATGGGTTACCTGAATTCAGTCCCTGACCATACCAGGGTAACTCTTTGATTGCTAACAGCAACATACTAAGGGCACATTCACACATTAACACTGAATTGCGACGGGTTAACAAATACGTGTTATGTGTTGTGCATTAATTTGTGTTACTTTAGGGCCCCATTCACACGGGGCTTTAAGCTGTGGCTGGGAATTCCAAATCCATAAGCTCTTGCTGCAGGGATTCCAGGTGTGTCCATACAGATACAGTACAGAACTGTTAATTCCATGAGCGATTACATATGGACTGCCGCTGACAGATATGGCCGCTGTCAGTCGGTCATTAACTTGAATGGGGACAGAGGCCACATCTCTAAAGACCCACCTGGGATTCCTCAGGCACAGCCTAAACCCCTATGTGAATGGGGCCTAAGGCAGCCCATTCATTTTAAATGCAGCTAAAAAATCAACATGACCAATTTTTTCATATATAAAGTAGACCAAAACACAAACCATGTGCATTGTAAGGACTGCACTTCAGGTGCATTGCCCACTACTATATTAGTGCATGAGATGGCCAATGCCATGAGTTATGGTAATGTCTGATAAATGAGCACTTTACCACAATGCCTATATGTGCATGGGGCATACAGTACAAAAAGGGTGCAAATAAATGTGTAGTCAACCTCTTTTGTGTAATTTGTACAATTAAGTAAGCAGACTGGTATGTGTTTTAAACTGACCTTTTTTTAAGTTGCTCCCCAAAATTGAAAACATGATGTACTGGTTTGTAATTTTGCAAAAATATGTGGGCTCACTCATCCCCACCTTCCTTCCCCCACCTCCTTCCTGCACCATGCGCCCTCATGTCTGCTGAGTCCTTTACCAACAATTTACAGAGTACAAAAGAAAATTATGCTTCGCATGAATTACCTGAGCTCAGTCCCAGATCACAACCAGTTAACCCTTTGATTGCTAACAGTTATATACCAAAGTACAAATAACAGGGAATTTAGTTGTGGATGCATAGTGCACGATAGATTGGCTCCCAGAGATCAGCACCTGTCATTCCTCCTCCACAGGTACAGTTGAAAGATATGCAGACAAATATGCAGACAAATGCTGCACAAAATGTTGGGCATTTCCTGTTATTTTTTCATGAACATTAATAGGATTTCTGATATTTTTAGAGATTTATTCAGAGCTGTACGGCTGTACATAATACATCTTAGAGCTGTACGGCTGTGCATGTCTCCAAAAGTAAAATGCATGATAAATAAAATGGATACAAAATGTATAGGTAGAAATAGAATTTAAACTTTGTGCATTAGCATCATTATTACTAGTTGTAGTTTTAGTAATATAAAAAAAAAAACTTCTTTAGACTTAATAGTTACAAATTCAGTTAATTCCTATTAATTCCTATTCAGCCACATATAAAAATATTTTTTTTAAATTCATATATTTTTCCAGTTCAATCCAGCTAGAAATCCAAGTGATCGTGGGTGAAAGCTGTGTGAATCTTGTGTAAAAAATGTAAAAACAGACCCTGTAATACATATGTGTGTGTGTGTGTGTGTGTACATATATACAGTATATGCCACATTTTACATAGATAAAATGTACAAATCAAATATATTTATTTATTATTTAAAATATTTGTATTTTGCCGTTATGCAGTGTAAAAAAAAAGTTCATATCACTATAATCAGAATGTGCTTTTTGGACTCCCAAGGCTCTCTTGTCACAGTTTTGTAACAAAGATTAGCCAAGACTAGTTTAGTTTTCCCAAATTTATCAGTGTACTGTTTAATGCGCGCGTGCTGGTTAAAAAAGACCACAGTTATGCAATAGTTATAGTTATGTCCCTGTCTGCGTGGCAGCTAATAAAAAACATATATTAGCAATTTTTTTTAATTGCCAACTTGTTTTATTGATGTGCACATGATTCCTTGCTGTGATGATCTGTTATTAGGACTTGTTCACGTTTGTTTTCAGCGTTGCTGCTTCTTTAAGATTCCCTCCCCCTTTGAGTGCTGTGACATCAGCTGCACCTGATGCTGATATAAAGGACAGGTACAAGGATCCGTTACACACCTGCCCGTCTCTCACAGCTAGTGACCAGTCACAGGGAAAAGAAGAAAATACCATCTGTTCTTCAGGACTATATTGCACTTACAGGGCTAACCTGGGCAGTCATCCAGAGAGAACTTTCAGCCAAAGACAAAGCTGATCAAGCGAGAGCACCAAGAGGTACTGGAAAGCCCAAACAGAGCTCTCAGCCAAACCAGAAGGTTGTAGAAGAAACTGCACAGGAGCTTTGCACTGGGAAGGAACAGAGGCAACTCGCTGACCAAGGGAAACATTCAAGACACTTTCTCCGGTGAGTCCTCCTCTCAGTAAATAAAAGGCAGTCACAACAGCAGGAATTTCCTAAGCAGACTGAAAAACCAGTGCACAGACATTGCTCATTGTTTTGTGCATTTGATAGATCTGGATTAGCATCATGTCTATGGGACTTGAGATATTGGGTGTGGCCCTGTCCATTCTCGGCTGGCTTGGTGCTGTTGTTGCTTGTGCTCTCCCTATGTGGAGGGTAACTGCCTTTATAGGAAACAATATTGTGGTGGCTCAGATTATCTGGGAAGGACTATGGATGAACTGCGTAGTTCAGAGCACGGGGCAGATGCAGTGCAAAGTCTACGACTCCCTACTGGCTCTTCCTCAAGATCTACAGGCTGCTCGTGCCTTAATAGTTATCTCCATCGTCATTGCTATCATCGGAGTCTTCATCTCCATCATGGGAGCAAAGTGCACCAACTGTGTTCAAGATGAGTCGGCAAAGGCCAAGATCATGATTGTCTCTGGGGTCATCTTTATTCTTTCGGGGCTCATGACACTTATCCCCGTGTCCTGGTCAGCAAACACAGTTATTCGTGATTTCTACAACCCGCTAGTTGTGGATGCTCAAAAGAGGGAGCTGGGTGCTTCCATGTACATTGGGTGGGCAGCCTCTGCTTTTCTTATGCTTGGGGGTGCTATGCTGTGCTGCTCTTGCCCACCAAAACAGGAGAAGTACCCTGCATCCAGAGTGGCATATTCAGCAGCCCGATCAACAAATCCTGGATATGACCGAAAAGACTATGTCTGAAGAGGAACCAAAACTGTTCAATGGGCATGGAACATTCTCTTTTATCAAGTGGCAAGAATGAACAGGTGACTTGGTTATGGAGAGGAGTGGGAAGTAGACATCACTGACGCAGACTTTTTAAACCCTCTTATAAATGCTGTAATTATTAGTACTGTATATTTTTTTATATAACGTATATTATACATATACAGCATTGGTTCTAACTGTGTGTGTACGTGAAATTACAAGAGGCATGAATGGAAGCTTTCTATTGTCGTGGCATTTGGTGAATATTCTTGAACTGGGAGGGGCAAGTCTTCTTGGCAGAGATGAGGTGGCTTAAGTAATATAACTCTTTACATCCCAAGCTGCTGATTGAACTGTGCAGAACAATGCACTGTTGTATGTTACAGCACCATTACCCACTAGGGAACCGTATCTGTTTGCGGGTTCTTAATATTTAGAAACGCTAGATGAAGGAAGTGCTGTTTTTATAAAGAAAGAAAAAAAAAAAGTATAGGGCTTTGTATATTAATATTTGACAGCTATTAAATTGTTTAATATTTTTGCTGTACAGCGTGAATCATATTTATCAGACATTAACAAATCAAAATGTACAATTCCAACTGTTATATGTCTCATAGCTAATCAGGGCGATTTGTGACAACTGGAGCTAATTTTTTTTGTTAACCATACCAACCAATCAAATCTAACCTCAATTGGGACTAGATAAATGCCCCCCATCCCCAACAAAAATGTTGCCTTGCTGTACATAAATTACCCTACTTGCCAGGTCTGCTGGATTTGTTATATATGTCAACTCTTTTCCGGGGCTACATTGGTTTATTAATTGGAATGTGCCCTCTCCTATTTGTGACTGTAGCCGTAGGGATTTTTTTTTTTTTTTTACAATAGCCTGTCGAAATGTAATTGTAGAAGGCAAGAAAAGCTTCCCAGGATATAGAAACCAAGGCTGCTAGTTTATGAAAAATGCATATTCTCTGGGGGCCTATAATAGCATATTATGGATCCAGTTTTCCCAAGTTCATTATTTAAGGAATGCTAAAAGTATGCATGATTAGGATAGTGTTTTTTATTACAATTTTGTTTTACTATTACAATCCTACCTTTATAAAGTGGTCATTAGTTATACTTACCACACTACAAAAATTCCACACATTTCAGTTATTCTTATCTACTGTACATCTTCTTTTGCCATTCTTACGGCGTTTTTCCTATTATTTTTTTTACATGTATTGCTTTGCCATTCTTTCTAACCTTTTCCCAGGTTTTATTACAATGTGGTGTGAATCTTTGTGTAGGCTGAGTATGGCACGTTAATGGCATTCCTGTTAATAAATTACAGCAGTCTTTCCATCCATAAATGAGCTGGTGACACATTAATATGCACTCCCTGATAAAAGAAAGAAAAGTTTCAAACTGTTAGTAGAGTTTAACAACCTTCAACCTTTTCACTGCCACGGTGACCTACCATCATGCCAACTGACTGGCTATTTTGAAAGGACATAGTTATTTATGAGTGGCATTAAGTTCCAACTTTAATTGACCGCTACAGAGTTTGCTATAGTTGTGTTAAAAACAAGTGGAATTTTCAGTTACAATGAGATGTTAGTCTCCAACCGGCTTGGCAAGCCTATAGTGCTCATTTAAATGGTGGATTTACAAAGGGGATTTCAATACTTGCATTTTCTTTGTGTAGTGTGGATGTATGTGTACTGGTCTTGTTGAAGTGCAGTGGTATGCTTTGTCCTGCTTGAACATTTCTGTAAGAATTATCAGTAGGTGATGCAAAATAAAGGAATACTTTTTACTAGAGCAAATTCAGACTTGCTTTTCAGTAAAGCAACTCAACAAGCCTGATTATATCTAATTGTAATATGTTGCTATGGTATTCTAGACTATCATAATCCCTGTATCTGCATAATGATAAAGTCAGACCCTATTCCGAGGCAGTTGAGATTGATAATAACCTATATTGATAGAAAAATTGTGGTCGTGTTAACAATATATTGTTTTAGCATTGTGAAGATGTAATAGGTCACATTAAGAGGGTCTCGTAACACAACAATAAACTTAAAACTTGCATGGGGTTAAGCAAGCACTGGGCACATGTCTCACCATGAACTGACAGTCTTTCTGGGACCCCAATCATGATTAGGGGCCAGCATAAGTCCCACAATACCTGCGTACCTGGCATGGGAATTTTTTCAGTGATGGATATTGTCAATATGCTTCAACAATGTCATCACTGTAAGTGGTCCATTGAAAATGCTGCCTTGCTCTTGTTGTGTCTGCCAGAACAAGGATATATGGCATGTGATCATTTGCCCTAAAGGCAACACATGTTAATTGCTTGCATATTAAGTGTGTTCTCATTTCAATGCATGCATTTGGGAAGCCTGAAAGCCTGAGCATTGCTCGGGTCTACTAGTCCCTGTTTTCTTTACTCTAAAGTATATGAAGTGCTTTACAGTTACCTAAATAAACTCAAGGACTTCTTATCTCCTCCTTATAACAGTCCCAGTGTTTGCACTGTCATCTTTGGCATTGAAGAAATAGATAGGCAAACAAAATGTTGATCAACTGATGCCCCTGTGACATGACACCTTTCCAGTGAGAACTGCAGTTAGATGTATTTGGTATAAAAAGCCTATGGACATGTGTTTTATAAGCCTATATATGTTTTTGTCTGAGTACACTTTGTAACCTAATACTGGTTAGAAGTACTAACCGCCACTTTGTATTCAATATCTTGTCAACAAGCTTTTTAGTAAAATATGCTCTTATATCATCTTTTTGACTGTTCATTTGTGTATTTAATTATGTTTCTTTCCTTAGAAGTTTGCTATATAGTCAGCTACTGTAAATTTAAAAATTATATAGATCCAACACACACATTTAAATTTTTCACTGACCCCAAGAATGGCAGTCTGAAACAGTCTCTAGACTAAACAAATATGCATCCTATCTTTTACTAAGAACAATTTTTTAAAAAAGTCCAGTTTTGTGAATAAAATGTCCATTACAATCTACTATGGCAAGGCTTTATTAAAGTGACACTAAACTCAGGTGTTAAACCTTAAAATGCATTTGAGTACCTTAACAATAAGAAAAATGTATCTTATTTGTGTATCACTCAGCTGTAGGTCCTCAAATCATCTCTGAAATTGTGCTGACACTGTCCTTCGTTCTGGAGGGTGGCTACTTTTGTTACCCATACTCCCTGTGTGTGTTGTAAAGTAGTCACCGCTCCAAGCTCGCTCCTGTGATGGACTACAATCTCAGGTTTAGTTTACTAATTTGTATTGAAATTATAGTCCATCACGGAAGTGAGCTTGGAACACACTCAGGGACCATGGGGAACAAAAGTAGCCCCCTCTTATTGTGTGACCCAGCTTCCATAATTTTATAATTTGCTTTACTGTATGCCCCCCCACTGCTTTATTGCAATGCACACTAGTTCCAATAATGCAGAGGATGTGAGTGGGGTATTGTTGAAACAAGCAGCCATAGCTCAGGGACACTTTCTCATGCATCTCCTGTGGTTGTACACACTTATGTGCATTATGTACATTTACCTGCTGAAAGATTTGTGTTTATGTCAATCCAGATCTAAGATGTACCCAGCTCTGCCACACCACATAGCCCTAAAGCATACACCAAACAAGAGGAGTGCCAGACTAAATGATAAAGGAGTCCAAATAGCTTGAATGATTTACACTTAAAAAATAGCAAATACATTTCAGGAGACAAAAACACTCCACCTTCATCAGGGCAACAAAAAAAATATATAGACAAACAGTACATACATAGATATGAATAATAAAATAATAAATCTCATATGGTGAGGAATGGGCTGTGACCATGAGACTGGAAGAACTTGCAGCACATTTGCATGATCGTTAACAAGCCATTTGTAGCTACACGGCTTGTGTGGATCTACGTTTCGGACTCAACCTAACTACTGCCTACTGTTGACTTTGCTTGATTTGCCTTTAAAATATGTAACAGGATCTCCCTGGGTAATCATTTGGCTGGACTCCCCCATCTTTTCCCTCTCCCTCCTTTATATTTCCAATGTTGCCTGCCTGCTCTCCTTTCCTTCCTTCTATCCACAAGGTTAGGAGACTGCTGAAAATGTCACCTTGAAAATCTGACAGAGCGTGATACCTAAGATACTTGTTTGTTTGACTATGTATTGCCTATAACTCAGTTTTATTCATGTGACCTTGAAGGTTTTCCTATGTTTATGTTTTGTGATCGGTATACTCTGTAATGAAACTCAATAAAAATGTATAATAAAAAAAAGTAATATGGTGAAACTCAAACTAAACAAAAACAAAAGGTTTTCATGGACAACATATGTATACAAAGTATAGGTCTATATCACTCTTATATTCATATGAGTGATAAAAATTATAAATATTCATATGAAATTGGGCTGCGGAAATTAACAATTAATTCGTCGATTAATCGTTAACTTTTTTGATCGATTAAATTTTTTTTTGCTCGGTAGTCACCTCTCCGCCGGCTTCCGTGTCTTCCGGGAGTTCCGTCGGAGATCCGGTGACGTCATGGACATCGACGTCACCAGACTCCTCCCCCCTTCCCCAAGTGGCTCCGTCGGCTAACGAAGGGAAGGGGGGAGGAGTCCGGTGACGTTGATGTCCGTGACGGCTAACGAAGGGAAGTGGGGAGGAGTCCGGTGACGTCGATGTCTGTGACTTCAACGGACTCCTCCCCCCTTCCCTTCTTTAGCCAACGGAGCCACAAAGGCGCCATGATTTAAAAGTACACAGAGAGAAAGTACTTAGAACGCATCAGCCATATCAAATAGGTTCTCAGAAGAAGCACAAAAAGGTATTGTTGCCATGTTGCTTACTGTTACTATGTTATATAAAATAGTTCTGTAATGCTTTTTAAAATTCAGTCCTGTTGCTCTTCAAGCGTGTATAGCCAGCGCAGAAAAAGGGATTTCAAATGACAAAAAAATGGAGTCGATTATTTAATAACCAACTGGCCCATATACACACGGAAGAGAGCAGCTTCCAGGGGACATTCACCTTTCTATTTTTGTAACCCTCCCCTTTCAATAAAACCTGAACGTGTTAATTTTTTTTAATTGACCTTTTTTTACATTTCTTTGTGTGGTCCTGTCCCCATTACCCTTGTTGCTTAGACAAGAATTCTGTATGTGCGTTATAATTAATCGAAATTAATAGATTCTAAAAAAATTCGATTAATCGAACACAAAAATTTTAATCAGTAACAGCCCTAATATGAAATAAATAGATCACAATTATTGAGTAGCTATTATGACATTTTCTACATACAACTGAATATGGAATAATAAATAGAGATCATCATTATCGAGCAGATATTTAAAAAATAGGGACTGTGAGGTTGTATTAGTGCTTTTTAGGCACATATTTCATAAAATACACCATAATCATGTATGTTAATATCATACAGCAAAGGAGCAGATTTATATCATTAGTATGACTAGATACAAAAGTCAGAATGATACATACTACAAGAAATTCTGCACTTCTTGGGCATTTTAGGAAATATGTGCCTTAGGCCCCTTTTGCTGGGCAGTCCGATCAGGTACACCTGTCAGTTTTTCAGGCGGACACGATGGGATGCCCAATGCTAGTCTATGCGCAGGCGGATCTAAACTGGTGGGTGTCCGTTTAAACCCGGTTGCCCCCAACTTCGGCCAGGTCCAGAAAAACAAACGGAACAGTGTTCCGTTTCGCTGGACCTGACCGTGCCAGACTAGGGTTAATTTGATGTAAATAGCAAATGTTCATTTACAATCGCTTCCCCATAGAACGTCATGGGTCCAGTCAATTCAGTTTATTTTGATGAAGGAAAAAACTGGACGGACACAGATGTAACAGCGGTGAAATCAGATCTGTCCTGCTCCAATCAGGAGGGGATCCGTGCATGGATCCCTTCCTGTTAGGACACGGTAAGAGGGGACATAACAGCATTTTTTAAAATTCACAGTCTCTATTTTGTCTAAATATCCGCTCAGTAATGATGCTCTCTATTATTATTATTATTATTATTACAGTATTTATATAGTGCCAACAGTTTGCGCAGCGCTTTACAATATAAGGAAGACATTACAATTACAATACAATTCAAGGCAAGATGGTAAGGAGGGCCATGCCCCTGAGGGCTTACAATCTAAAAGAGGAGGGGGAAATGATACATGAGGAGGTAGCTGTGTGGGGATGAATTATTTGAGAATGTGAAGGTTCAGTGGTTAGGTCGAGGTGGGATAGGCTTCCTTGAAGAGATGAGTTTTTAGGGAACGCCTAAAGGCAGTCAAGGTGGGATATAGACGGGCAGGTTGGGGTAAAGAGTTTCAGAAGATGGGAGAGACTCTAGAGACGTCCTGGAGGCGAGTATGGGAGGAGTGGACAAGGGAGCTGGAAAGCAGGAGGTCAATGGATGAGCGGAGGGGACTGTTAGGGTGATAAGGATAAGGTGATAAGGATAGGGTGACGATTATGGTGATAAGGGGATGGTTAGGGTGACGGTTAGGGTGGACGGTTAGGTTGATAGGGTGACGGTTAGGGTGATACTCTCTACTTGATATCCATATTCAGTTATATGTAGAAAGTGTTCTAATAGTTGCAAAGAGACTCGATGATCATGATCTATTTATTTTATATGAATATTTATCATTTCACCACTCATATATATGTATATCTATTTTTTTGTAGTCTGTATTTAGCCCTGGAAATATATTAGCTGTTTTTTTAAG